GAACTGAGCTGTGCATATTATCGTAGATTTAACTCGCGTTTGTTTTAGCGAAACAGCCTAACTTGATTTTGTATAAAAGGTGCCAATGTTGCATTTCTTTGTTTTTGAAATTAATTTTTTTTAAAACCTAAGTTTATTACCGAACACGTGAAGAATCGTACGATTTATGTAAAAAAGACGAAACCAAATGAATGAATCGATTCGTATAGTATTTATAAGTGTTGCATTGTATTTATTTATCCTTGTATTATATAAAATAAAATTTAGTTTAAAAATTATAAAATACAACAACAACAATATTAATTTAAAGCCAGCTGCCATGTGTATAAATATTTAAGACAAGATTTTCTCTTTTTGCGTGCTCCTCCATTAAACGATAAACGGTGGGCAGCGGACTTGAAAAAGAAACTGAACTTTTGCTTCAAAATTTCAGCACATAAAATTCTTATCTCCATAAGTAAATTCTTTTTAGAGTAGCTATTTTTTACAATTTCAAATCTTTTTTTTTTTGTTTTTACAGTTGATAAAATATTATGTATGCATGTATGTAGTAAATATTTAAATTGCAAATTGAATTTGTATACTTGTATACAGACAAATGAAGCTGAATGCCCTGAAAGCATTCACATGTAAAATTTATTTTTCGCTTTTATTTCTTAATTTTACTTTTCATATATTTTATATATAAATGTGTTTGTATTTTTATGTAAAAAGACTTTGTTAATTAGTAAAATATTTTTTAAGTTAGAGTAATAAATGTAAATGTACGTATGTATACATATTTATGTTTTAATGAAATATTTATATAAATTATTAATTGCCACTATTTTTTTTTGTCTATATACATAAATATACTATGTACGTATGTGTGTGCGTATACACATACATACCTAAAAATTAGTGATCTTTGTGAAAACTTCGCAGTTAGAAAAAAACAATAAATATTTTTAGTTCGAGTATTATAATAGTAGTTTTTAGCTATTTTGTATAAAAGTGCTTTTAAATAGTCATAAATATTCTTAGAACTATATCGTTTTATTTTTTTTAAATAAAATATAGTCATCAAAGCGTTAAAACAGTGTTTTGAACAAATTACGGTGTCGAAAACGTGCTTTGAGTTAATATTTTTTCAGCTGTAGCCTATTGTCTGACGTTTCGTCGGTACTCACTTAAGTATCCGTTCATTTTCCCACCCCAAAATTGAGGTCAACAATCAAGCTTTTTATAGCCTGAAGAGCGGTTACTCAAAAGAGCGCTCCAAATACTCATAGAAGCGATCCTTTGTCAATTTGATTGCTGTCACAAGGACGAATGGTTTTCTTTCCTTAGCCCGCGCATTGCATTTCCTTAATTGCGGTGATGTCAGGATTCCTCTTCACAGGAGAATGAAAACTAGCTGGATGGATCTTTCCCATGATGGGTCCGGGCACACAAGGTGCTTGTTCTCAAACCGTTCTACCGTGACCCACTCACGCATGGGTTTTTCATGTTGCCGAGGGTAAACTTTGACGTTGGAATTTATTTAGTATATATTGCAAGACCAGAAATCCCACGATATCTTAGTACATTCCTCATGTAGGTATATGCGGTGACGGGTGAATAAATAGTTGGAAGTTTCTCGGATTTACCTTTATTTTTTGACATTTTTTTTGCTGACTTTTTTTTAATTATGATTAAAAAGGTTGAAATTTTGATTATACTATGTCGAATGATGCTTTCCATTTCCAGACAACCGGTCAGGTACGAGCATGATTTTTAATTTCGACCAAACTCAAATACATTGCTTGTTGGTCCACATAATGAGACACGTATTTCCACCATACAGTTTCGATTATAAAAAGCGGGAAAATGTGATTTTGTATTTCGAAACTGTATGGTGGAAAGTGTGTTCTAATATCTATTTGATACACAAAAAATGATCACGGCTGTACTTTTTGCTGATATATTACATACATATGTTCCATTTAGTTAAACAATATAAGAATATGTATTGTAGTATGTACCACAAAAACGTATATTTCCTATAAAAAATCATAACCCAGAAAAAAAAAAATCATCGCTATTAGAGATTTGGGTTGATTGTAGTTCAAAGTGTCTCTTTCCCGGTAAAAAAGTTTGAGAGAAAAAAAATACACTTTTTGAGAATTTAAATTTAAAAAAAAATTTTCACTTTTTGTTTATTGTTAAATAAAAAATTGTAAATAATGAAAATCAATAATTATATTATTCTATCTTGAAGTGACAAGAATTACTGACATTTAAGTAAAAACATTGTTGGAATCTATTAAATTTTGACAAAGTTATGGGCATTCAAAAAAAAATTCTCACTTAATTCGGCCGAAAAATTTTTCCGAGCCAAAAGCAAAAATACGTGTCTCATTATTTGGACCAACAAACAATGTATTTGAGTTTGGTCGAAATCAAAAATCATGCTCGTACCTGACCGGTTGTCTGGAAATGGAAAGCATCGAGAGTAAGAAAAAATTCTCTCAAACTCTCTCTCATGTTGAGAAACTTGCAAATTTCTGCACGAACGGAAATTGGCAGGAATTCGCAAGTTTCCCTGCCAGCTGGTGTCCACGGTTGCATTTCAAACATAATACATTTTTATAGAATTTTTAAAATTCTTTCAGATGGACAAAAACAGGACATATGTACATGTATATTTCTTGTTGTTCTGACTTTCTCGACTCTGGTTGCAATTGCATTCCGATTGAGAATACAATTTTTTTTCAGCGAGTAAAGTCAAACCAATGGAATTAACTAAATTAATTATATCAACAAGTATTTACTTCCTTTTTTTCATAAAAAAAATCGCTCGTGTTTATAAATTTTTAAATTTAACGAACTTATTTATTCTAATTATCGTAAACAAAAATGCAACCATGTGCCTCAATAATATGTTTTTCGTGATTGCCTATTCTTGCTGGCTGAAATTTTTCCAGAAAGAATTTGCAACTTCTCTCAAGAGAACTTTCACTTTGCGCTCTCAGTTTTTGAGTGATGGATAATTTTTTGGTCTGCACGAACGCGGTTTGGGCAAAAGTCATGATAATTCGTACAAATTTTTTGCTCGACGAACAAACCTTATGTTAACATGTATGTCAGCATTGGAAATTATGTTTAAATGAATTTCTGTTATCAGCAAATTAGTAATACGTACTTTGAGGGAAAAAAGAAATTTTGCATAAAACCAAAGTTAAGCGAAAAATATCAAGCGAACTCGTTTTTAGTTGAAGCTGGTAGATAAAACACGTCGGCTCGCGCGAAAATTGGAAACCAGTCTTGAAAAATGCATCGCTACGTTGTATTTTGTGTAATAGTGTGGTTGAAATTATTTGCGGTGCAGTCATTTAATTTAGCCCCTAAGCCAAATTTGATTATACGCGAAACGGTAGTAGATGAAATCAATAAAATTAATGCAAATGACCAGCATAGTTCATATTTCGGTTATACGATCGTACTCCGTGAAAAAAGGTTAGAAAAAAATCAACCTACATCAAAACTTTACGCCGTTGCTATTGTTTTTTTTTTTGAGAACAACTATAAAGATTTTTTTTTTATTTTAGTGTTATCATTGGTGCACCACGAGCGCGAACTGTTGAAGCTTATCGTGAACGTAGAGAAACTGGTGGCATTTACAAATACGAATTTGATAACAAAACATTAAAAAAAATCGATTTCCAAAATGAAATGCCCTCTCAGACCTTCGCTTCGTTGCAATTGAACAGCACTCAGCAGTGGTTAGGTGGAGCCATGGACGGTGGGAGCAGAGACGCAGATCCCTTAATTGCATGCGCGCCACAAGCGAAAGCTTTGTATGTTTACTTATGTATATGTACAATTTTTATTACTCTTTATTTAACTAGCGAGTTAGTAGTTTCTAGTAGCCGATAAGCTAGTGTTGAGGTACTTCTACTTTACGCATTTAAAGTCGGATTCATCGCTCTATATAGTACAGAAATTTTCTTCCATTTGGTTGTTGTTGTGTTTCTCCCTCCAGAAGAGCAACTGAGAAAAGTTCAGAACGCGTTTGAGATGTGAACCGAACTTCAACTTTTGTTCAGAACTAAAACGGTGAATCCGCCTTATAAGTCATGTTTATTTTAAAAGTCCTTTAATTTTTGATAAATATCGGAATTTAATTTCAACGGGTTCTTGACAACGTCTAACATCTGTTGATCGTTTTGTCCTAAAGTGGGGTTTGAAATCTCTAAAATCATACATTCACTTTTTGTACGCTTTATATTCATATGTTTGCGCCTTTTCGACTATAATATACCGCTTTATGTGAAAGTAAAGGCCCCGATACCAAGAATTTGACGAATGATTTTGAGATATAGCTCCCTTTCCTCCAGTATACAACGGTGATGTTAATGGAGCATAGATTTCGATGGCTCCGCTTTTAAGTACTAAAAGTTCACATGAATGAAACAAAGGCCCATTCTGTTGCCCGGGAGTAGACAAATTTCACCAGACCTATGTCTAAAATGGTTCTGGTTTTTTTGGCCTGTTCTAAGAGCTACTATTTCAGTGAAATGTTATCTTAACTGTCCAAGCCTTCAAGGAAATACTGCCACAGAAATAAGAAGCGTATTGTTCGGATTGCGTATTATATTATCAACAGAAATTTTTACACAGCGCTTCGAAACTGGGTCTACATGGTCAAAATTGCTGTGTAGAGCTTATGTAGGAATACCTGGATTGGTTGGAATACCTCTCTTTTCTATTTTAATAGAACAAGAGGCAACCACAGCGGCACTGAGAGTCCTAAACAGCTCCGAGCTGAAAATCGGAAATATGACGGGTCATATTAAGGTCCTAATGAAGTTCGCTAATGATTCCATATTAGAGATGCGTGATGCCGTAGAAATTTCTTTGTATGCAGGGTTCCCACACACCGAACCTATATGAGGAGGCTTTGTACTCAGTTGGATATGTACGTGAAAATGGCCGAATTTCAAAAAAACTATATCAATGAATAGTTATCCCCCATATTTTAAGAGGTGTTGGGCTCACCAAAGCACAAATGGGGGTCATAAATAACTGCGTGAACAAAACAACAGGCAGTGGGTGAAATGTTCAGGGCAGAGACAAGCCAAAAGAAGCTTTAAATAATCTTCTTAATTTAGGTAGAGGTGACCATAAAACCTTCACTGGGTACCACACTGGACCCGGTTCCCTTTGCTATTACCTCAAATTCCGAAGTTCTCAGTTGACAGCAGATTTTAACATAAAGTTGCAATGCCACATTTTTTTGAAATACATTATTAATGCTAAAAAAAAATCTAGATAGCAAAAAGTCTCGGGTTCGGCAAAAACTTCGGTAGTGTTTTTTTGCCGAAGCCGAGCATTCAGCCGAACATGAAAATATTGCCGATTGATCGGTAAGCCGAGCATTCGTCCGGATTCTAATAATAACTAATATCGCCTAGTTGGTGAAATTCGATCTTTTATCATATGCTTTTTAAATTACCATTTTGCGGATGACGATTTCGAAGTCTACCAGAATACGAATATACTACATAAATATCTAGATCTCTAACCTATCTACCTCACTAAGCTGTAGGGTGATTGCCTCCGTTTTTCCAAACCGGTTTCCACCATTTTGCTTTTTTTTATATCTATATGCGGTTTTTCGGGCGCTGTGGTGTAGTGGTAAGCAGTGCGCGCTTCCACTCCGCAACGCCTGGGTTCAAACCCTGGTCAAAGCAACATCGCAAAAAAAATTGAAAAAAAGGTTTTCTTAACAGCGGTCATCCGTCGGCAGGCAATGGCAAACCTCCGACTGCATTTCTGCCAAGAAAAACAGCTTCTCATAAAAATACAATCGCCGTTCGGAGTCGGCGTAAAACTGTAGGTCCATCCGCTTTGTGTGACAACATCAAGGCGCACGCCACAAATCGGAGGAGAAGCTCGGCCAAACACTAATACGGTAGACAGATTGATGGGATTATTTGCATTAGCAGCATTTATTTGCTTTAACTCGTGAATAATCCTCTCACAAATGCGCATTGGCTCGATGGAAATGCACGAAATAAATGAGCATTTATACTGGATTTTCCAATTTGCATTTGGCAACGCTGTCCAAAATTGGCATATATTTTCTATTGTGAATGGTGACTGTGGTTGACAGCACGGAAATAATTAAAAGAGAATCCGAAAACAAGCATATCAGAAGTAAGTTATTTTAAAAAATTTGTTAAAAACAAATGAAATATATTAAAAAAATGAATTATATCTAATTTCAGATGGCCAGCGACAAAAAACGCAGTACTTGGAGCACCAGCGACGAGAAAGTGCTATTGGATTTATGGGCGGAACGTGCGGATGACTTGCGACGGGCGAAGCGCAATCTGCATATATATGCGGATATATCGACACAGATGGCGTCAAAGTTTAGTGCAAAGGAGGTCCACATAAAAATAAGAAACATGACCCAAAGATATAGGTAAGTCATTTTCCATTTAACCATTCTGAACACTAATTGCAAATGTACGTAAAATTTCAGAGAAGAAAAGAAAAAGGTAGGACCATCTGGTGGGAGTCCCTCGCTGTGGAAACATTTTGACGCAGTCCACCAAATCATCGGTTTCAACGCTGCAAACAACGCTGAGATTTTAGAATCTTTTTCAATGGTAAAATTTCAGTTTCACACATAAATATATATGTACATATATTTTTGTAAAACTTTAAAAATACATAAAACTTCTTAAATTTAGGATATATTGACATCAGGACCGCAGCCGGTGCCATCACCATCAAGTTTAGCGTCCCCATCCCCAGTGCCTCAGTCGTATCCATACGCTGCTGCTGCACCGTCATCAACCGCAGCACATCCATCGCCACCAACCGCTGTACCTTCACCGTCACCATCGCCTCAAACTTCGTCACCGCTTTCGTCGCCGGTGGAGTTGTCCAGTTCTTCGCCACTTGACACTTCGACTGCAGCTTCCACATCCTCTAAAAGGAAAAGAAATTATATGGGTGAGGTGGTGCAATTAGCTAAAGAGCAAAACGAGCTGTTAAAAGTGGTCATAGACGACGGAAAAGTTTTAACAGCAGAATGCGTTAATGCTATTAAAGAGCAAAGTAGTGCGACAAAAGAATTTATTAGTTTAATGAAAAGCGTTTTGGAAAAAATGTAACTTAAAGTAGTATACAGTATCGGTCATATCTATAGCACGCCATTTCAAAGTGATATTGTGTGCCGCTTATGTTGATTTATTTATTTTTAAGAATTTTCAATTAAAATTTTGTTCATTCTCGGACAAACCCCATATATACCCAAGTTCAACAATTTGTAGAAAACTACAAAAAAGTGTAACAAATTTTCACCTAAATTTCAAACTTTTTTCTCGGTAGTGATAGAATTTTTTTGAGGACACAGTTTTTTAGCCCCTGCAATTTTAGTCTGATAATGTGCAAATTTCAAGTAGCTACGAATTACCGTTAATTTTTTAGAATTTTTTTTGTCGCATTGGCTTCCATATAATGAATAAACTCAATTTATTTGTATATGGAAGAAAACCGCAACATCCTTGGCGAAAAAAATTCTAAAAAATCAGCGGTAACTTTTAGCCACTTGAAACTTGCACATTATCAGACTAAAATTAATTGGGCTAAAAAACTGTGTATTCAGAAAAATTCAAACACTTCCGAGAAAAAAGTTTGAAATTTAGGTTAAAATTTGTTGCACTTTTTTGTAGTTTTCTATAAGTTTTTAAACTTGGGTTTATATGGGTTCTGTTAGATAAAAAACCGTATTTTAATTGAAAATTCTTAAAAATAAATAAATAAACATAAGTGGCACACAATATCACTTTGAAATGGCGTGCTATAGATATGACCGATACTGTACATATGTATGTTTAAACACTCATGAACAAAAAAAAATGGGTGTGCGGCATTTTGATAAATTTTGTTTGTATTTGGCTTTTGTTTATTTAATGTTTATTAACATTTTACAAAATTCTAGCGTATTATATAACAAAGAGCATATGTAAAATTCCACATTTCAAAGTTACGAATTCATAAAAACTGTTTTAGTAATATATTTAGACAAGTTTTTGGTATGCAGTTTTTTAAACCATTAAATTCTAGTATATTAAGTGCATCTTTAAGTAGCTGAGGATTCGAGCTGATTTTTAATAAATCTTTCTGCTGACCATATAAGGAAAATGGTTTCGCATACTCTATATGCGTAGAACCGTCAGCAAAAAAAATTATTAAAAATCAATGCGAATTCTCAGCCGCTCTGAAGATACACTTAATACACTAAAATTTAATGATTTAGAAAACTGCATACCAAAAAATTTTCTAAATATTCTGCTAAAAAAGTTTTATAAATTTTTCTAGATTTTGTACAAGCTTTGAAGTGTGGAATTTTACTTATGTTGTTTATTGTATAAAACGCTAGAATTTTATAAAAAGTTAATAAACATTAAATAAAAAAATCCAAATACAACCAAAATTTATCAAAATGCCGCACACCCATTTTTTTGTTCATGAGTATACTTATATGTAAGTATGGCAAAGTTGGAGGTGATCTGCCTACTCAAAAAAGACAAAAAAAAGTAGAATAAAAATTGATTTAATTTTGGTTTTAATCTAATTTTAGGCACATATATATGTATTTATGTAAGCAAAAGTGAATTGAAATAGAAAATAACTGAAAAGGAAATGAATTTAAATAAAAATAACTACTGCGAGCAGCAAAATAGAGTCTTTTTCCTTACGAAAACTCATAGCAATGGCATTCCTTATAGCCGCTGCTGTTAGGTCATTTTCACCAACTCTTGTTGTGTGATTAGGTTGATTCCTTGCTGATCCGTATTCTGCTGCATCCTGCATCCAGACGGAAGAAACTTCATCGTTCTCAAGTTTTAAAAAATTGTGTAAAATACAGCAGGCCTGTATTATAACGTTAACATTTTTAGGTGCTACTTGTAAGCCTCTCCCTATTTTTCGGAAACGAGCCTTCAGCTGGCCGAAAGCATTTTCGATCACACGCCGACATTTGGACAGGCGATAGTTAAAGAGTTTTTCAGCAGCTGGTTGGTCAGCTACATATGGATATGGTTTCATCATGTGGCGCGATAACCGAAAGGCCGAATCGCCCATAAGTAGCACAGGTATATTGAATCCGCCAATAAGCTCGCTATTTTGTACGAAAATGTCTGCGCTTTCATGAAATTGTTTTAATGAACTTTTTTCAAATATGTAAGAGTCATTATTTCTTCCAGTAGATCCAATGTTAATATACGTAAATTTTGACCTGTAAGTCCAAATAATTTAAAAATATACATATGCATGCGATACAGTGCAGCCATAAATTTACATACCTGTGATCACAGCTTGCCAATAAAACCACGGAATACCATCCTTTGTAATTGTGGTAATCTACGGCATCCTCCTTTCTTGGCTGCACTTCAATGTGACATCCATCTACAGCTCCAAAGCATTGCGGAAACCCTAGGACTGCGAAACCGTCTACGATTCTTTTGATTTCTTGTTGATTTGGGGGGTATGTATTAATGCAATCCGCAAAATTATCGCAAACTGAGTGGCAAAAATCCAGAACAATTTCACCAACAGTACTTCGGCCAACTCCAAATAAACTAGAAACGGTTCTATACTCTGCTGCAGAACCCAATGAGAAAAGTGCGATAGCCACCCTCTTTTCGAGTGGAATACAACGCCTCAGGTTGCTATCAATTTTCTCCATGTTTCGTACTTTTTCGCACACTTTTTGAAAAGCCCTCCTATCGAGACGAAAGTTTTCTCTGAATCTTGCGTCGTCCATTGCACGGACATCGTGCTCCCAAAATCTGCTACTGCGGTCCTTTAGGGATACAACTAATGGTTAAAATCTTTATAAAAGAACATTTTTACTTACGAATTTCCAGATCCGC